TCGAAGCTAGTTCTAATATGTAATGTCGAAATATATTATTGACTTATTATGTCGAATTGGGTCTTGTGTTAAGGATCCAATTATTTAGTTAGCTTGTATTGTAAGTTATCTAGTTAGTCTATTAATAGGCTAGACCACTCAGGTTGTTGAGTGAGGCCAATTATGATATTCATTTGTAATCATTTGTAAACCCTAAATGAGAAAGTGAATAGTAAACAATTTGCCCTAATTTTTTTTCTTCTTTCTCTTTTTGTTCTAACTGTTTTCACTATTCACCCAAGAACTCCGTTTCTCAATCTTTATTTATTGAAAGCTATCGTTTGTGATTATAATAAACTGGTGCGGTGAGCGTGGAGAAGATGTCATCAACAAAGTTTCAAATTGAGAATTTTACTGGAGTTAATGACTTCGGTTTATGGCGTTTGAAGATTTGAGCCCTTCTTGTTCAATAAGGTTTTCTAGAAGCGTTAAAGGGAAAAGATGTCACGGATTCTGCATTGACGGAGAAGGAAAAGACAATGATGATCGAGAAAGACCACAATGCAATTATTTTGAGTCTTGGTGATAAGGTTCTTAGTCAAGTTTAAAAAGAGACGATGACAATTGGTGTTTGGCTGAAACTCAAAGGATTGTATATGATAAAATCCTTGGTGAATCGTTTGTACTTGAAGCAAGCTTTTTATTCATTCAAGATGAATGAAGATAAAGCGTTGACGGAGCAGCTGCATACATTCAACAAGATGATTCTTGATCTTGAAAATATTGATGTTACCATCAATGATGAAGATCAATCATTGTTATTGTTGTGTTCTTTACCTAAGTCACATGCTCACTTCAAAGAAACCCTCTTGTATGGAATAGAGTCCCTGACCTTTGAAGAAGTTCAAGCAGCCTTGTATTCGAAGGATTTGAACAAAAGAAAAGAGCAGAAACCATCATCATCAGTTGGAGAAGGATTGTCCGTAAATGGGAAATCGTCGAAGAGAGATGGTAGGTTTGAGAAGAAGAAAGGTAAAACTCAGCAAAAGTCTTATGGTGGTGATATTTCTGGGATTAAGTGTTATCACTGTAAGAAGGAGGGTGACACAAGAAAGATGTGCCTTGAGTTCCTGAATAACCATGGAGGTAAGGACAATGGAAATGCAACTATTGTGCAAGATGATTATGAATCATTTGATGTCCTTGTGGTGTCGAGCAACAACTCTTGCAAATAGTGGATTATGGATTCTGGATGTACTTGGCATATGACTCCAAACAAGAATGTGTTTGAAGAATTATGTGATTAAGATGGTGGATCAGTGTTGCTGGGAAACAATGAAGCTTGTAATATTGCAAGTATTGGATCTGTAAGATTCAAGCTCCACGATGAGTCAAAAAGGCTATTGACTGGGGTTAGGTATGTACTCGACCGTAAGAGGAATTTAATTTCTCTTGGTGAATTCGACAAGAAAGGGTATGTTTTCAAAGGAGAGCAAGGTATCCTGCAAGCCATGAAGGGGTCGAAGGAAGTCTTGAGAGGCGTGAAGAAACAAGGCTTGTATACCCTTGAGGCTGAGGTTGTAAGTGGTTCAACATATTTTGCATCCATAAAACTGGTGTCGAAGACAGAATTATGGCACATGAGATTGGGTCATGTCAGTGAAAGAGGCCTGGTCGAACTGGGGAAACAGAACCTACTAGGTGGTGACAAAGTCGAGAAGTTGGAGTCTTATGAACCTTATGTATTTGTAAAATCCTGTAGGCGAAGTTTAACAGAGATAAACAAAGGACGCATGGATCCCTTGATTACATCCATGCTGATCTTTGAGGGACTGTAAGGAATCCTTCACATGCAGGTGCAAGGTATTTTCTATCCATAGTTGATGAATATTCTAGAAAATTATGGGTATTCATTGAGAAGACTAAGGATAAAACTTTTGAGAATTTCAAAAGTAGAAAGGTTCTAGTCAAAAATCAAAGTGGAAGAAAGGTTAAGAGGTTAATAATTGATAATAGCCTTGAGTTTTGCAATGAAGCTTTCGACAATTATTATGTTAAGTCTGGGATTACAAGGCATAAGACTGTATCAGGTACTCCTTAACAAAATGGCTTAGCTAAGAGATTCAATCGAACAATCCTTGAAAGGGTTAGATGCATGTTAGTTAGTGCTGGATTGAAAAAGGTGTTTTGGGTGGAGGTTGTTTTCGATAGCAGCTTATCTGATAAATAGATGTCCCTTGACTGCTTTGGGAATGAACACACCTGAAGAAGTTTGGTCGGGTCAACCACCTGATCTCGACAAACTGAGAGTATTTGGTTATTTAGCATATGCTCACATTAGGCAAGACAAGGTCAAACCCAGAGCTCTGAGATGCATGTTCCTTGGATATCCTGAGGGAGTCAAGGTATATGGCCAATCCTGGAAAGGTGCACTGGCAAGCTTTGAAGTGGATTCTCATATACATAAATGAGTCTCTGAGTCGAGTCTTGATTTATGGTGGAGCTTGTGGTAATGATAGCAAAGTCGAAATCGAAGGTTATGTCAACTCTGATTATACAGGTTGTATGGATTCCAGAAAGTCTATTTCTGGATATGTCTTCGCTTTTGGCACATCAATCAATTGGAAAGCAACACTTCAGAAGGTTGTTGCCTTATCAACCACTGAAGCATAATATATTGCCCTCACTGTTAAATATGATAGTCAAAATGCAATATACCTGTTGAAGAACTCAGCCTATCATGAGCTAACCAAGCACATCGATGTAAGGTTGCACTTCATCAGAGAGATAATCAAGCGTGGTGAAGTCTAGGTGCTGAAGGTTTCGACTGATGACAATGTTGCTGATATGATCACCAAGACTTTGCCAAGTTGCAAGTTTTTCCATTTTATGCAGTTCATAAAGTTGCATGATGAAAGCTAATTTATTCCTTGTTGTTGTAGAGTTAGATCCAAGGTGAAGATTTCAGAAATATCACCACCATAAGACTTCTTCTTCTTTCTTCTTTATCCTTTCTTCTTTCTCTCTTTGTTCTAACCACTTTCATTATTTACCCAAGAACTCCATTTCTCAATCTTTATTTGTTGAAAGGTATCGTTTGTGATCACAATACTAGCAATAAACAACAACAACTACAAATATCCTAAGTCTCAAAAACCATAGCAATAACAATAACAACAACAAAAACAAAAACAAAAACAACAACATTAACAACAACAACAACAACAACAATATTAGTGGTACAGTCATGGAGAAAATCTTACATAGCAGAAACGTGACGAGAGAGTCAAAGAAAAGTGTTACTTTGAGGTTCAAGCTTTCTTCTTCCTTGGAGAAGATGAGGAATGGTGTTCCAATTTGTTAGGTGGAGAAGATGAATAATGATGTTTCAGTTTGTTAGGTTGAGAAGAATGGTGTTTTCTTCGTTCGCTAGGATGTAAAAAGTTTATGAGACATAATGGAGAGTGAATAAGACTTAACATTCTGATGACGGAATAAAATGTTGTTTAGAGCTTAAATTTTAATTAATAGGAAAATCGAGGAAACACAACTAAGGTAAAAATTTGAGTTTAATTTAATTAAATAAAATATTAATCAACATTTCATGTCGCTTTTCTAGAAAACCAATGGATAAAATTTAAGGGCGCCATTTTAGTTTTAAATAAAACACGAAATTGTAAGAGTTGAGAATCGAAGCTCACAAACCCTAAGCTACATTTTCTATCGATTATCTACAAAATCGAGGGATAAGATTTAATTTTAATAAAATTAAATTAAATTAAATGGCGCGTTCTAGGTCATTTAACCTCGACTTTTTATCGGCTGAAGTGAAAGTTTTATCATGAAATGTATTATTTACAGTAGTGTATACTGTCTAACTGAGCTGAAAAGCTAGGTTATCACTTCAGCTGAATTATGTGACTGAGACGAAAAAAAAATTTTCACCTTAGCAATGTTGGATCATCATGAGAAGCATCCACACTTGGTCAAGAACAACACATAAGTAAAAGAGATATCACATATTCATCTAACGTTAAGATGATAGATATATAGGTCTTCTCACTTATAATGTGATCAACTTCTACTTTTCTAAACAATATGAGATTAACAACTCAGACTTATTTTTCAACCGACGAATCACATATGATAGACTTACCATATAACTCTAAAAAAATTTCACTATACTCATATTTACATATTTTTCATTTGTTTAACCTTTATTTAGCTAGGCAAATTTGACTGACCTAAATTATATTGTTTGTCATTCTCAACCAATATTTTATTTATTTTCGGTGTATACAGACTCTTTATTATAGAAAAAAGATTCACTAATAGAAGTTTCTTTTTTTAATTCCAAATTCACTCTCACAAGTAAAGAGAAAAAAACCTTGTGAAAAAGCTAGGTACGACGAACACAACAAAAGCCATGATTTTCAACATTTTCAATTCTTTTGTTTCTTGTGTACGAGAATCATCTAAGAAACTAACCCTATCAGTATGAAATCGTTGAATTTATAAATGCAACATTTCATTTGTCTGCATGGTATAGACAAACATGTGACATATGTAGATATATACTAAGGTCAGCTTTGGATTTAATTTTCGGTGTTGTATTGTTAGATGTAGCAATAAATCTTTGGTGGTGATATAGTTGAACCAATAACTACAGTTGTTTAGACCAAAGCATGTTTCAATATCAAATAATTGAAGCTATTTTGGAAGTATGCGACTTTACAGCTGAAAAGACTCATTATGCTTCTATACGAAATGTGTGAAAACCAATAGCATGTTTTGACCATTTTTATGTTTATAAATTTAATTTTTTTATGCAGAATATCAAAGAAGTTGCAATTTATGGCTAACAAAGTCTCTATCAGATATGAATATGATCATTTGTGTTTTCGTCCACACTATCGTTTTTCCTATTTTTCTTCATTTGATTTATCTATATATATATACTTCAATTATTCAACTTCATTCTCTCTCAACTATCATATCCTAAAGTTTATTATTTTTGCACTATGGAACATGAGAAAGAAGAGTACATAGAAGAACCAGTTAGTCCTATTGGACAATACTTCAATAGTTCATCCCTATGTTTATATATTATTGCAGTTTTAGAATTTGAAGTTGCCATTGATGATTTGCAAGCTCTTGCTCTTCTTAAAGATGTTTTTCTTCCTATTAGTCCTCGTTTCTCCTCCATCATGGTTATTTTCCATCTCTAATTTTCATATATTCAATTATACCACTCATTATTTATATGATTTTATTGACTAGCTTTTTATATCTATATGTGTTTAAATAGGTACAAGAAAAAAATGAGGATAAAAGATGGAAGAAAGTTGATGTGAACTTGAAAGACCATATGAAAACACCAATATTTTCCAAAGGAAAATCATTAGAATTTTATGATAAATCTTTTCATGATTATTTATCAACCATAGCAATAGAACCATTACCACAAGGAAAACCATTATGGGAAATTCACATAGTAAATTACCCTACAAAAACTTCATTAGGAAACATAATATTCAAGCTTCACCATGCACTTGGAGATGGTTATTCTCTAATGGGTGCACTTCTTTCTTGTCTTCAACGCGCTGATGATCCGTCTCTTCCTTTATCTTTTCCGTCACTCAAACCATCGAAATCAGACGCTTCGAATTTAAGTTTTTGGAGAAAAATGTCTTGGACTATTTCATCTATTTTTAACACCGCGTCGGATTTTGGGTGGAGTGTATTGAAGAGTAGCTTTATTGATGATGATAAAACTCCTATTCGATCGGGTAATGAAGGAGCTGATTTTCAACCGATTTCGATAACATGTATTGCATTCTCGGTTGATCACATCAAAGACATCAAATCCAAGCTTGGAGTGGTATGATAAGATTTTTTTTCATTAATTATTAAGAATATATAAATATTTAGAATTTTTAATTTTTAATTTTTGATGAAATTTGAATGAGAAACTGCATAATAAATTTATATTTTCTAATGAGATATCACATCGGTTAAAGATGTGACACGTCAATATTAATTTATTAGTATTCGATTTTGTGACTGACTATATAGTTTGTCTGTCTTATTAATTGCAGACTATGAATGATGTAGTGACTGGAATTATATTCTATGGGACAAGACTATACATGCAAGAAATAGACTCCAAATCCAACACTTCAAACTCAACAGCATTGGTATTAATGAATACAAGAAACATTGAAGGTTACCAATCAATAGAAGACATGCTCAATACTAAAAAATCAAAGGGTCCTTGGGGGAATAGAATTTCCTTCTTGCATGTACCAATACCAAAATTAAATGAAACAAGAATTTCAAACCCTCTAGAGTTTATTCATGACACACATAATATAATCAATAGGAAAAAACAATCTTTAGGTTTGGCTCTTACAGGGACACTTTTGGACATTGAAGGAAAATTCAGAGGACAAGAGGTTAGTCACATCAAATGCATAATCTAAATTACATTTTATATTGAAATATTTTTACTTAGTGTTTTTCTTAATTAAGTTATTTAAATAACGGTCGTATAAAGACTTTAACGACTTGTATGCAGGCAGTAGCTAAACATATTAGGAAGACAATAACAATGTCAAGTGCAGTGGTTACAAATTTGGTTGGACCAGTTCAACAAATGTCTTTAGATAAACATCCTATCAAAGGCTTATACTTTACATTGGCAGGTGGTCCTGAGGTATGTTTATCATAAGTCACTCTTTTACATTGTCGACGTGTCAATGTCGTGTTAATATTAGTGTCAGGTGTTCGTGTCCGTGTTTCATATATGGATACTAGTGACTGAGTGTTTTTAAATGTTATATTCTTATGTTGTTTAGTTTAATGATTTGCAGAGTCTTGTGATTTCAATAATGAGCTATATGGGAATGCTAAGAGTAACCCTCAAGACAGAAAGAGATTTCATAGATGAACAGAGATTGAAGTCATGCATGCAAAGTGCATTTGAGATGATATTCAAAGCAACCATGGAAATTGATTTTGAAACAAATTAAATGTTTTAGTCACCAAATCAAAATGTTTAAAATGGTGTTTGTAGTTTGGGATAATTGGAATTGCTTATTGTGCTTTATTTTATTTTATTTTAATTTCTTTATTGTAAGTAAGGATTTATTAAGCCTTTATTGTTTGATTAATTTGTTGTGTGTATTAATGTATGCTTCAGAATTAGTCAAAGGAAACTTAGTCATGTATTATTATTTGTCCAAGTAATAGGGTGGTAGGTTGATTCTGAAGGGGTGAACACTTTGAATTGCATCTTTGAAATTTGGAGATGTATTTTTGATCAATTTTTTTGAGAAAAATAAGAGATGTCTCACTTATAATATTTTTAAAAATATGTGTTATTAAGTTTTCAAAATTGTGGGTCGCACACTGTAGGGAAATAAAGAGTAACTCCTCAATTTTTTATGTCACAATACTTTGTAGAACCAAAAAAGTGGGTCTTTTGATGTTAGGTTGCATTTTGCATCTGAAAACTACTATTCACATATGTGTAGGACTTTTCGTCATTTTGATTATTCCTCTTATATATGTTAATGAAGAATATATAGATTGAATGATTTAGAAGGAGAGTTAAATAGATTGTTTAAAATTATTTTCAAAAACAATTATTTTACAAAATATGAATTTAATAAAATAATATGTTTAAAAGCAAGAGGAAGTAGAACATAGCGGATGGTTTTCAAGAAAAGTGTTTTTATGTCAAAGATCAACAAGAAATAAAACTCTTATACGATAAACACACCTAAGATAGATGAAGTTGTTTTTACAAGCAATAAAACAATTATTATAATTCAATTTACACACATAATTCAAAATTGATTTAGATCAAATAGTTGTTCAATATAAAATTAAAAGTTTATGCAATCAAATTAAAAAATAGAATAATCAATGAACTATGTTGTAGTTAAAGTCTGTTCAAACATGTTGTCGAAATATATTAACTTGTAATTTAAGTTAATATATCAAATTGGGTCTTACTTGTAAGCCCAATTGTTAATTTAGCTTGTAACCTAAGTTAGCTTAATAGCCTATAAATAGACTAGTTCTCTCAGGTTGTTGAGAGAGGTTAATTGTTGATATTCACTTGTAATCTTTGAACTCTTATTGAGAAAGTGAATAATAAAACAAATTTAACCAATTCTTTATTCTTCTTCCTTCTTCTCTTTTCCTTTGTGAAACCTAATAGCGGTTCTTGTGTTTGTTCAAGAAACTCAATTTTTTCTCATAACTTTGTTATGTTATTTACGACATCAATTTGCAACAATAAGCATTTTACTTAACTCAACAATTGCATCAACAAATACACCTAATGTGAGATTCATGGTACATACATCTAAAGGAAAAACATATTTCTATTTTTATCAACATAATCATAATAACTGAATCCACACAACAAAAACTAACATTTTTAAGTAACGTGCATGGATAAATTGGAAGAGTTACTATCAAATAAGTGATAAAGAAGATTAAAATGGTAGAGGAAGTTCTTTGATGTTTGGTTGTCCTTCCTTTATTTCAAGTTACACTTGAGCCTTAATGGTGTTATGGCGTTCAAAGGGAACAAACATACGTGTGTTGGAAGAGTTGATGTTGGAACATTTACGTATGCTGGAATGGATGAAGTTTGGAAAACAATTATGCAATATAGATTTAGATGTTAGGTCGTTTATATGGAGAAGATGAAGATGAAAATCGCCTTGGGTTATGTTTCGTAAAAAAAAAATGGTTAGTTTAGCAGGAGAGTGAAGATGAATAAGAGTTGAAAAGTAAATGAATAGTTAGAGTATACTTTTGGAAAATACATGCAAAATATATTTTTTTTCTCGGTTGGACAATCCAAATGAGAGAATAGATAAATTAAAAAAAATTGTTTTAAATAGATATTTTTTGTTAAAAATTTAAATTTAAATTAAGGCACCTAGTAGAAATGATTGTACCTCAGTTGATTAGTTCATTGAGATAAATTTTTGTTAGAAAATATAATATTTATAATAGTGAAACTTTTATCAAATGTTCAATTTAAAACCTTTACACTCAGATTTTAATCAAAGGTTCAACTTGCAATCTTCACATCTTACAAATTTAAGGAAAGAACATTTTCTTAGTTTTACAATTGAGATCAGAACAACGTTATCCATGATTCTTTATAGAAATTTCTCTCTTAACACCCAAATATATATATAAGGTGTACGATCTATTTGAAAGGTTTTCAAATTACTTGTTAGTATTTTAAATAAGCCCCACCTTTTACATAGTTTAGATATAGCTGTGTAAAAATAAAATACAGATTTGAATCTGCGATATTTTATATGTCCACCTTTTAAAAGATAAATTCTCAGCCACTAATCTACTTAATAAAATAATTGACAAACTCTAATATTCTTAATTCGTTCTCTTTAATTAATCTATTAAAGATTAAAATAGACATAGACATAGTTACAAGTATAACATTAACATGAACACATAATCTTCAACCAAAATATTTATAAAAAAAATATTCATCTTAACTTTATGTGTAGGCATGAGACCCCAACATATACCTTTATAATATAAAGTGTTACTAATGAGATTTGGTTGAAAACTTAAAAAGCATATAATGCTTATAAGTCTTTTCTTTGGTCACAATTGTTGAAGGAAAATCAGGATGATTAACAGAATCTGGAAAAGCTTGACTCTCCAAACAAAGTCCAGCATGAGCTTTATACACATATCCATTTTTACCCTTCACATCCTTAATATAGTTACCAGTATAAAACTGCAAACCAGGGGCATTTGTGTAAAGTGTCAAAACCCTACCAGATTTCTTATCATGCACTTTTGCTGCTAGTTTAATCTTTTTTCCTTTTTCACCATCCAACACATAGTTAATGTCATAACCCTTAGTTTCAGCTAGTTGGTTTATTCTGCTTCCAATAATCTGTGGTTTGAGAAAATCATAAGCTGTTCCTTTCACATAAGCAAATTTTCCTGTAGGAATTAGTTTGGTATCAACAAGTGTGATTTTTGAACCAAATATTTGTATTACTTCATTGAGAATGTTGCCACTGTTTTGGCCTCCAATGTTCCAATAAGCATGGTTTGCTAAATTCACAGGTGTAGGTTTGTTTAGAGCTTTTGCTTTCATAATTATGACCAATTGATTTTTTCCAGATAGAATGTAGCTCACAGTTGCAATGAGGTCACCAGGAAATCCTGAAATATAAATTGAACATATATAAAAAATTTATACATGTCTTATACATTCTATATCTTTGTCCAGAATTAAAAATTGCAACTTAAATTGTACCAAAACTTAAAATTAAATATGTTTTTGATATCCGATAATGTGTTTGACAGTGCAATATTTAGTTACATCTAAATACTTTTATTCTTTACAATATTCTTTGTATCTACGTGTTATGATTTTAAGTCGGTTGAACAAATATTATGACATTTTTCGAGTTCTTTATATCATTGTTGTATAAGATTTTTTTGATGGTTGAAGTGATCTTTTGTCCTTTCTTAAAATTTTATGTAAATTTTTCGAGCTCTTTATATCGTTGAACGGATTTTTAGCATCAGAGGCGGTTATATTATGATTTGACATTCGCTAGTATGGTCTATTTTAAAATCTCAAAATGATAATATTTTGTGTAGAAATACTTGTTAATGTGAAAAATGGGGAAGATAAGAGCATTTCTTATGTTTGGAAATTGTATCTTTATAGGTCTCTCATTTTTATGAATGACTTGAGATCTATATTCTTTGTTTAATTCAATAATTTTTAATAGTTTTTTTACTTGATTTTTGGGGAGAAACCTTTTTGTTATTTTTTTTTAGAGAATTATATTTTTATTGATGATTTTTCGTGCTAGGATCGGGCTTGTTTTCCCTTTGTGGTGTACAGATTTTATTTTATTTTTATCTTTTTGTTTAGGAGGTTATGTTTTCTTTCAGCCGGGAATCTTTAGTGTATTTTGTGATTTTTATTTTTGTTTTAATTTTTCGAGATGCTAACTATTAGATGTGTAATTATTGATAGTTTAGTAAGTGGTTATTGATAATTTAATATGTGATTACTAAGAGTTTAGTAAGTGGTTAGTGATAGTTAAGTAAGTGATTATTGGTAGTTCAACATCTGATTACTGATAATTTAGTAAGTAGTTATTGATAGTTAAGCATGTGGTTACTCATAACTATGTATGTGGTAAATGTTAGTTATGCATGTGGTTAATGCTAGTTGCGCATGTGGTTACTAACTAGAAGTTAGTTAGTTAGTTAATGTATGATCCTGTATAAAGGATTTAACATATATTTATAAAAATATAACTCTCTCAATTCCATTCCAATAATATATTATTCCCTCTCAATCACTCTCTAATTCTCTCTTTTATCATCATTTGTCAAGTAACTTGAGATGCAAGTCACCCAACAAACTGGTATAAATAGCATTGTTTCGGTCCTCAATCTCTAGCCATGATGAATTGAAGTACTACCTCCAACCAATTCCCAACCAATCTATTAGTTTTTAAGGTGATAGATGGTAAGCACAAATGAAGGTCTTATTCAGATTTAAATATGTGCTTGAAATCGTAAATTATGTTTTATAAGCATTAGAGACAAATGCTACTGAGACAAAGAGGATATCTTATCGTGAAATAAGAAAGAAAGATGGGAAATACTTGTTTTTTATCCATCAGTGTGTGGGTTTCAATATCTTTGAGAAGATTATAGAGCATGAAACAACCAAGAAGGCTTGGGATATTCTCAAGAAATTGTATGCTAGGGATGAGAATTTAAAGAAAGTGAAGTTGATATATTTGAGTAAATAATATGAGAGCTTGCAAATGAAAGATGATGAAACCATTGTTGAGTTCTTCTCAAAGATGGTTGCTTTGACAAATCAGATAAAGCAAATGTTTGGTACCTTAATACATACTGCAACAATCATATGACAAGCAATAAGGACTGGTTTATCAAGTTGGATGAATAAGTTAGAAGACCAATTTGATTTGAAAACAACGACATTGTGACATCAGAAGGAATTGGCAATATTATGGTGAGAAAAAATGATGGACATGAAGTTACCATCAGTGATGTCTTGTATGTTCCTTCAAAGACAAGTAACCTGATCTGTTTGGGTCAATTACTTTGCAAGAATTACACAATGAAGCTGGAAGGAAGGAAACTAAAGGTGTTTGATGAAATGTATAAGATAATTATTAAGGAACCTTTGTCAACCAACAAGAAATTTAAGGTCATGATAAATATGCATGATCATCAGTCTGTTGAATGAACCACAACCAAAGATAAAAATTGGGTTTGGCACCAGAGATTTGGTCACCGCAGCTTTAGGAGTCTTATCTTAATGCACAAGAAGAATATGGTGTATGGACTTCCCAAGGATTGAAGTACCAAAGTAGCTATGTGAGGAATGTTGTATAGCCAAGCAGACTAGGAAGCCATTCAAACATGACTTATCAATGAAGTCACATAAGAAGTTTGAGATCGTGCACTCAAATGTATGTGGTCCATTTGAAGTAAAATCACTAGAAGGTAATTGATATCTATTGACCTTCATAGATGAATTCGCTAGGCATTTATGGATTTACTTGTTGGAAAATAAAAATGAAGTTTTTAGCAATATTAAGAAATTTAAATTGCGATTGAAAAGCAAGTTGGACACACCATCAAGAGGTTGAGAACTAATGGTAGTGGTGAGTATACCTCAAATGAGTTTGCTCAGTCTTGTGAGAAGGAAGGGATTAATCGTGAAGTGATAACACCATACATATCTCAACACTATGGCATTACTGAAAGGAAGAACAGAAGCATCTTGAATATGGCTAGAAGCATGCTCAAAACGAAGCATTTTCCTAAGCACTTATGGCGTGAATCCATTTCAAATGTAATTTACATCATCAATAGATGTAAAACAAAGAAGTTGGAAAAAAACACGTCATGAAGATTTTTCAAGGTTGAAGCCAAGTGTGATTCATATCAAGATTTATGGTTCACTATGCTTTAGACATGTTCCTGAATAACTTAGAAAAAAAGTTGGATGGCAAAATCCAAGATATGGTTATGGTTCGATACCATTCAACATGTATCTATAAGTTGTTCTCACCAACTAAGAACAAGGTGGTGGTAAGCAGAGATGTGGAGTTTGATAAAATCAAAGTTTGGAATTGGAAGAATGTTCTAGAAAATACAATGCAAGAAGGTGAAAGTTTAAGTCACGTCATAACTACTATGCATGATAAGGAACAGGTTGCACCAGCTAAGCCTGCACAAACTCAATGAGTGAGAACGTCAAGCGGGATCGAAACTTCATTAGTTAGACTGAATGACTATGAGAAATTTTTAGAACAAGCTATTCGGGAAAATGGTGAGCTGATGAAGAAGCAATGACGGTTGAGTCAGAACCAATTAATCATGTGCAAGCTTTGCAGGATGAGAATTGGAAATATGCAATGGTTAAGGAGCTCAAGGTCATTGAGAAAAAATAGACAGGGGAACTAGTTGAAAACATGGGAAATAAAGCAATAGATGTAAAATGGGTTTACAAATTAAAGTTGAAACCAGATGGTGAAATTTCCAAGTACAAAGAAATGCTTGTTGTAAAAGGCTTTCTTCAAAGGCCTGGAGTATACTTCCTTGAATTTTATGCACCTATGGCTAGGCTTGAAACAAGTCTGGTTTTGGACATAGTAGCTCATAACGGTTGAAAGATGCACCAACTAGATGTGAAGTCTGCATTCCTCTATGGACCTTTAGAAGAAGAATTTTATGTGAAGTAGTCACCAGGTTTATAAATAAAAGGGCAAGAAAAGATGGTCTACAAGTTGAGAAAAAGCTTTGTCTGAATTGAGGTAAGCACCTAGAGCTTAGAACAAGAGGATTGATAGCTTCTAAATCAAGCTATGTTTCAGCAAATGCACATCAAAGCATGACTTCAAAGGCTCAAATGAACAACACCAAGTCATTTTATGTATTTATGTAGATGATTTTTTGGTTACATATTCAAATGAAAAAGAATTGACAAGGATTAAAGCAAGCATAGAGAATGTGTTTGAAACATCAGACCTAGGAAATTTAACATATTTTCTAGGAATCAAAATTGTGAAGACCAAACAAGGAACTTTCTTGAATCAGAAGAAATATGAAAAGGACATCTTAAAGAGATTTAATATTATAATTTACAACCATGTTATCACACCAATGAAAACCAACATCAAGTTAAGGAAGGAATCTAATTCAGAACTGGTTGACAACAAAGTGTACAAGAAGATTATTGGATCATTGAGCTATCTTTGCAATACAAGGTCGAGTATTTGTTATAGTGTAGGATTAGTTAGTAAATTCATAGTGAAACCAAAATTATGTCATCTACTTATAGTAAAGAGAATCCTAAGGTACATTAAAGGCACAACAGGTCATGGAGTTTTCATGTCTCATCAACAAAACACCATAACTGAAGTAAGGGTGTATGGTTACTCAGATTCTGATTGGAATTCAAGATGATAAGAAAAGCATAGTTGGCTACCTATTCATGCTTATATCAACACCAATATCTTGGAGCTCAAAGAAGCAAGGAAGGGTGGTTTTGTCCTCTAGTGAAGCAGAGTATGTTGCAACTCCTATGCTGTATGTCAAGCACTTTGGTTGGAAATGCTACTTGAAAAATTGAATGTAATTGATTGTGTGCAAATAAGATTGTTAATTGATAGTCAATAAATAATCAACTTAGCAAAGCATCCAATGAGCCATGGTAGGAGAAAACACATAGAAATGAGGTATCACTTTCTAAGAGATCAAGTGAGCAAGGGAAGATTTAGCATGTAACAATGAAAAATGAGTTATAATTAGCTTATATTTTGAAAAGGTATCTCAAGCAAGTAATATTTGAAGGTCTTATGAGGTTAATATGAATGAGAAGTTTGGATAAACTTAATTAGGTAGAGTATCATATGGATACTACAGTTTTCTGCACGTGGTTATTGATAGTTCAACGTGTGGTTACTAATAGGTCAGTAAGTGGTTAGAGATAGTTTAACATGTGGTTAGTGATAGTTCAATATGTGATTATTGATAATTAAGCATGTAGTTACTGATATTTATGTATGTGGTTAATGCTAGTTATATATGTGGTTAATGCTAGGTGTGCATGTGGTTACTAACTAAAAGTTAGTTAGTTAGTTAGTAATAGGTTT